GACAAATGAAGAACCAGATGACTGGATAAACTGAGGTCAGAGAGTTTCTCCTTTTGTCTTCTCTTTAAACAGCTCCTTCACCACTCCCTCAAGGTTTGTTCTATTGGGGCAGCAGAGGGAGGGAAAACAGTTTGTTTTTAAGAGGAGAAAGAGATGAAGAAAAAAAAGACAAAAAAAAAAAAACCCAGATACATGATTATACACTGTGTCTTTCCTTGAAAATATCAATTACTTACTTTCAAAGTATTATGAATTAGAAGGGATTTTAAAACTAGGTTAAATTTTGGTTGAGCCATGGCCAGGCACTGATGGCTCACATCTCTTAATCAGGAGGATAAGATTTGAAAATGGAGTTTTAGAACCTGCCTGGGCAGAAAAGTATGTGATAGACACTTGCCAGAAGCTGAGGCATAGCTCAAGTAGTGGAGTGCCAGCCATGAATAGAAAAGGTTAAATGAGAGCTTAAGTTCAAGTCCTAGTATTGGGAAAAATTTTGTTGTTGCTGAGCTTTAAAATATTCTGAGAAATGTTACCTATCCTGGAAACGCATTTAGGCTGTAATCTCCCGGATGTTTATTCACTGTAATATCCATCTTCAACTGCTACTTAAACTATATACAGATAGATGTTCTTTAACTTATGGTGAGATTTTACCCAATAAATCGGTCAAAAGGTGAAAATACCTAAGTCAAAAATGCATTTAAGCCAGGACCTTGTGGCTCACACCTATAATTCTACCCATCCCGGAGGCCAAGATCTGAGACTCATGGTATAAAGCAGGCCCAGGTAGGAGGAAGTCCATGAAATTGTTATTTCCAATTAACTCCCAAGAAACATGGAAGTGGAGCTGTGGCACAAGTGGTAGAGCAATAGTCTTGAGCAAAAAGGCTCAAGGACCTGAATTAAAGCTCCAGGCTTGGCACAAAAAAAAAAACAACTTAGTGCCAGTGGTGCCACACCTGTAGTCCTAACGATTCAGGAGGTTGAAATCTGAAGGTCAGTTTGAAGCAGCCTGGCATAAGTCTGTGTGAAACCACCTATTTACAGTTAACCACCAAAAAGCTGGCAGTAGATTTATGGCTCAAGTGGCAGAGTGCACGCCTTGAGTGAAAAAGCTAAGAGAAGGCTGGGAAAGTGGCTCATTGCTAGAGTGCTTGCCTTGCATGCATGAGGCCCTGGGTTCCATTCCTCAGCACCACACACCACATAAGCAGAAAAAGCCTGAAGTGGCACTGTTGCTCAAGTGGTAGAGCTCTAACCTTGAGCTGAGGAGCTGAGGGACAGTGCCCAGGCCCAGAGTTCAGGCCCCATGACCGGCAAAAAGAAAAAAAAAAGAAAAAATCATGGAGAATTGTTAGAGAAAATAATTAAAAAAAAAAAAAAAGACAAAGAGCCCAGGCCTGAGTTCGAGCCCTATTTCTCTCTCTCTCTCTCTCACTCACACACACACATACACAAATACATTTAATACATATAACTTAGGAATGAATATAGTACACTTCAGAGTAGTATCCATTATTTGCCCTGGTCATTGAACGGATGACTAGAAGCTGCACCTTGATACTGGTGACAAAGTAGCCTGCACCACATAATGCTAGCTCTGGAAAAGATTAAAATTCAAAGTCAAAATCAAAATGTAGTTTATAGTGAATGTGAAATTTTATTTATTTTTAAAATTTTTATTGTGAAAATACTGTACAGAGGGGTTACAATTACTATTTTTTTTTTTTGTCAGTCGTGGGGCTTGAACTCTGGGCTTGGGCGCCGTCCCTGTACTCTTCAGCTCAAGGTGAGCGCTCTACCACTTGAGCCTTAGCGCCACTTCTGGTTTTCTAGTAGTTTTTTTTAATTTAATTTTTTTTGGGGGGTCCGGTCATGGGGCCTGAACTCTGGGCCTGGGCACTGTCCCTCAGCTCTTCAGCTCAAGGCTAGCACTCTACCACTTGAGCCACAGCGCCACTTCTGACTTTTTTTTTCTTTTTGCTTATGTGGTGCTGAGGAATCAAACCCAGGGCCTCAGGCATGCAAGGCAAGTGCTCTACCACTGAGCCACCTTCCCAGCCCATCTAGTGGTTTTTATTGGAGATAAGAGTCTCAAGGACTTTCCTGCCCAGGCTGGCTTTGAACTGTAATCTTCAGATCTGAGCCTCCTGAGTACCTAGGATTACAGGCGTGATGCACCGGTGCCTGGCTTGAATGTGCAATTTTTTAAGTTAAAATTAACATGTCAGTAGCTTCCTCCTATAATCCTTTCAACTCAGAAGGCTGAAATCTGAGAATTTCATTTCAAAGTCAGATAAGGCAGACAAATTCTTGACTTTTTTTTTTTTTTGCCAGTCCTGCGGCTTGAACTCAGGGCCTGGGCACTGTCCCTGAGCTGTTTTTGCTCAAGGCTAGCAATCTATCACTTGAACCACAGCGCCACTTCCAGCTTTTTCTGTGTAAGTGGTACTGAGAAATCAAACAGAGGGCTTCCTGCATGCTAGGCAAGCACTCTACCACTAAGCTACATTCCCAGGCCCATTTCCCAACTCTTTATCTCCAATTTACCAGCAAAAAATCTGAAGTATAGATGTGGCTCAAGTGATAAGAATGTAAGCTAGGGGCTTGCCAGCCCAACGATTTAAGTTTTACACTCGAGCACTGCTACTTGAGAACATTTAGAAATATTTTAGTAACCAATAGCTAACCTACAGGTTACTTTTTAGTAGAAAATAGCTATAAACAATAGCTAAATACTATAGATATAAATATTAGAAATTATCTAAAAATCTACAGGTTGAATGATGATAACTCATGCCTGTAATCCCAGCTATTCTGGAGGCTGAGATCTGAAGATTCTGGTTCAAAGCCAACCTGGGCTGTGAGATTCTTATCTCCAATTAACCACCAGAAAACCAGAAGTGATGCTGTGGTTCAAAATGGTAGAGCAGTAGCCTTGAGCACAAAGACGCTCAGGGACAGCACCCAGGCACTAAGTTCAAGCTCCATTACCGATATATAACAAACATCTATAGGTTACTCTTTTCAGCTTGTTGTAGAATTTAATTCTTTTACCACTACCCTCTTTAAAATTAATCTAACAAATTCTTCAACACAGCTCACAGTTCCTAAGGTTTAGTTTCATACTGGCAAAGTTCTATATATGATCCCACAGTTTGTAAATACATAATAGATTTTGTTTTGGGTGCCAGTCCTGGGGCTTGAACTCAGGGCCTGGGCATTGTCCTTGAACTATTGTACTCAAGGTTAATGCTATATCACTTGAGCCTCAGCTCCATTTACATCTTTTTTTTTTTTTTGCTAGTTAATTGGAGAAAACAGTCTCACAGATTTTCCTGCCTGGGCTGGCTTTGCAAGCTGATCCTCACATCTCAGGCTTTTGAGTAGCTAGGATTACAGGCATGAGCCACCAGCACTTAGCTTCTACCTGAACTGGCTTCACACCATGATCCTCAAATATCAGCACTCCAAGTAGCTAGGACTATTGGCAAGAGCCACTAGTGCCCAGCATCATTTTATGACCACAAAAAAAAAAAAAAAAAAAAAAGGCCTGGTGATAGTGGCCCAAATCTATAAATTACTCAGGAGGTTGAGATCTGATGATTGTGGATAGAAGCCAGCACAGGTAGACAAGGCTCTTTGGGGGTTTGTGTTTGTTTGCTTTCTTGTTGTTTTTACCAAAAATAATATCCTTTGACACAAATCACAAATCAACTGAACTGGCTTGCCATCTTGATTTCCTCTATATAACTCTCCATTCAAAGATGAGTTTATTATGTGGCAGGCCAAGTCCTGTCCTTTACCAATGGGACTGACCCAAATTACTACTTCACACACACACGCACGCATGCACGCACGCACGTGAGCAGAGTCAAGCACCAGAATGAAAATCAAGCTGGTAATCAAAATCAGAACCAACGAGGCAGATCTTATTTTTATGGGTTTGGTTTTGTTTCAGGGGGTAGGAGGTTTTTTAGTCCGTAGTCACCATGTGGCTTATCTTCAGATAGTCCAAAGAATTGGATAAGACAATTTACAGCCAATTGTGTAAAAAAATGTCTATAAATGCCAGTGCCATTCTTCGCCTTGGCACTTCCCATTATCCTAAACCAACAGGATCCTATTCACTGAGAGCTGAGCTCCAAACATGAATAGACAGACTTTTATTGGGCGGGGGAAAGGAAGAAAATGATGGCATGTGAGAAGCCAGATTTCTTTTTTTTTTCCCCCGGGGTCCGGTAGTGGGGCCTGAACTTTGGGCCTAGACGCTATCCCTCAGCTCTTCAGCTCAAGGCTACCACTCTACCACTTGAGCCAAAGTGCCACTTCTGGCTTTCTGCTTATGTGGTGCTGGGGAATTGAATCCAAGGCCTCATGCATGCAAGGCAAGCACTCTACCACTGAGCCATCTTCCCAGCCCTGAAGCCAGATTTCTTTAAGTTTCTGTGTCATGCCTAATGTATATGGCATATTAGTAGAGTGGAATATAACTGTAAAACAAGCAATCATACAAAAGTCAGCCCAGGAAGAATAGCAGAGAATGTTTCTACAAATTTGTAATATGCTTGAGTTCTAATTCCAAAATATGAAGGAAGCAGATGACTTAATCAGTCAAAGTATTACTTGAGCAGGGTGCTGGTGGCTCATACCTGTAATCCTAGCTACTTAGGCTAAGATCTGAGGATCACAGTTCAAAGCCAGTCTGAAGCCAACCTGGGCAGGAAAAGTCCATGAGACTCTTATCTCCAATTAACAATTCAAAAACTAGAAATGAATTGGTGTAGAATGGAAGTAGTAGAGTACCAGCCTTGAGCAAAAAGAGCTCAGGGACAGTGCTCAAGCCCTCAGTTCAAAGCCCCATGACCGACCAAAACAAACACACAAAAAATTAAGTTCTTAGAAGCCTGCTATGTTCAAGAGAGTCCTTCTCATTCTATATAAACCTGCCAAGCTGATTTAATATGATAAAAACAGCACTTACATCCAATCTACATTACCTTTCTAGAGATTGAAGAGACATTCAAACCAAATCTTTGTGCTCTTTCCTTTAGCTTATCCAGGTTAACCTACAAAAACATAGGGATACTTTTAAAAATAAAAAGAAGGCAGAAACTATCATAAAACGCTAAGAATTCAGAAAAGTTTAAAACATCAAAACAGTATGGTACTACACACTTGTAATCCCTGTATTTGGATGGGCTGAGGCAGGAGAGCTGAGTTTGATGCCAATGTGAGGCTACACAGTTATTTCCAGGTCAGCCTGGGGCACTGCCTGGAATACAAACAAAAACCTGCTGGGCTCCTGTGGCTCACGCCTGTATTCCTAGCTACTCAGGAGGCTGAGATGAGGATCATGGTTCAAAGCCAGCCCGGGCAGGAAGTCAGTGAGACTCTTATTTCCAATAAACCACTGGAAAACAGGAAGTGGTGCTGTGGCTCAAGCAGTAGAGCGCCAACCTTGAGCTGAAGAGCTGAGGGACAACGCCCAAGCCCAGAGTTCAAGACCCACGACCGACCAAAAAACAACAAAAAAAAACCCCTATAACCTGTACTATCAAAGATACCATATTACAACAAACTTAGGAACTAACATAGCACCTATGCACTCCAATGATTATTGAAAAGCTCTTCTGGAATGGAGTGAAGGTTTCAGCCCAGCCTCTATTTGTCAAAGGTAGCAAGAACTTAAGAGATCAAAGTAGGCCAAACACTGCTTGAAAAAGGAACTGTTTATATAAAATATTACTTCCAAACAAGTCCATCATCCACAGCCTAAACCCATTCTTATACTAAGCTTCTGAAAATAGTTCTTTCTTTTTTTTTTTGTCGGTCAAGGGGCCTGAACTCTGGGCCTGGGTGCTGTCCCTCAGCTCTTCAGCTCAAGGCTAGTGCTCTACCACTTGAGCCACAGCGCCACCTCTGGCTTTTTCTGCTTGTATGGTACATGCAAGGGAAGCACTCTACCACTGAGCCACCTTCCCAGCCCCTAAAAATAGTTCTTAACTCTATCTTCATCCAAAGACAAATTAACCTACCACTCAGCACTATGGTAATCTTTAGAAGACATATGCTGCTGCCACTATCCAACTTGGTTCTCTACTCCCTCTTGTGGGAGCCTCAGTATAAGAGTTGTTATCTTTTTCCCTTTTCTTTTTTTTTGTCAGTCGTGGGGCTTGAACTCTGGGCCTGGGCACTGTCTCTGAGCTCTTCAGCTCAAGGCTAGCACTCTACCACTTGAGTCACAGAACCCCATCCTAAGAGTTGTTATCATAGGTTTAAGACACTTTTTTTTTTTTTGGGTCCGGTCATGGGGCCTGAACTCTGGGCCTGGGTGCTGTCCCTCAGCTCTTCAGCTCAAGGCTAGCACTCTACAACTTGAGCCACAGCGCCACTTCTACTTTTTTCTTTTTGCTTATGTGGTGCTGGGGAATCGAACCCAGGGCCTCATGCATGCAAGGCAAGCGCTCTACCACTGAGCCATCTCCCCAGCCCGGCCATTCTTATTTTTAACGTTCTTTACTATCTTTACTCCTACCTACTCAGGAGGCTGAGATTTGAGGATTGAAGCTCAAAGCCAGCCCAGGCAGGAAGGTCCATGAGATTCTAAGCTCCAATAAGCCACCAGAAAACAGGAAATACACTGTGGCTCAAATAGTAGAGTGCTAGCCTTGAGCTGAAGAACTCAGAGCCCAGTGCTGGTGCCAGTGGCTCACGCCTGTAATCCTAGCTACTCAGGAGGCTGCTGAGGTCTAAGATTGTGGTTCAAAGCCACCCTGGGCAGGAAAGTCCCTAAGACTCATCTCTAATTAACCACCAGAAAACCAGAAATGCTGCTGTGGCTCAATGGTATAGCACCAGCCATGAGCTGAAGAGCTCAGTAACAGAGCCCAGGCCCAGAGTTCAAGCCCCACAACCAACATAAATAAATAAATAAAATTAGCAATTATCAGCCAGAAGCCAGTGGCTCACATCTGTAACCTTAGTGTCTAAGGAAGTTGAAATCTCAGAATTGCAATTCAAAACCAATCTAGTAGAAAAGTCTGGGGGGGAAAAAGGATTAGAAGTGTGAACCAAGTGGTAGAATACCAGCTATGAGCAGAAAAAGCCAAACCAGAGTGCTAGTGAGTTCAAGCCCCAGTACTGGAATTAAAAAGAAAAAAATTATAGACATTATTGACAGGGCTAGCGACACTGAGCAGCTACTACTAATCCTGCCTGCTCAGAAGGCTGAGAACTATAAGATCACAATTGGAGGTCAGCCAAAGCAGAAAAATTTGCTGGACCTCATCTTCAAAACAATCAGCAGCCAGGAACCGGTGGCTCACGCCTGTAATTCTAGCTACTCAGGAGGCGGAGATCTGAGGATCGCAGTTTAAAGACAGCTGGGGCAGGAAAGTCCGTGAGACTCTTATCTCAAATAAACCACTAGAAAACTGGAAGTGGCACTGTGGCTCAACTCTTATCTCCAATAAGCCACTAGAAAACTGGAAGTGGCACTGTGGCTCAAGTGGTAGAGCGCTTGCCTTGAGCTGAAGAGCTCAGAGACAGCGCCCCAAGCCCAGAGTTCAAGCCCCATGACCAACCAAAAAAAAAAAAAATCAGCAAAAAATAGGACCCGAGCCCAGCACTGGTAGCTCACACCTATAATCCTAGCTACTCAGGAGAGTGAGATCTGAAGATCGAAGTTCAAAGTCAGCTCAAGGCAGGAAAGAGACTCTTATCTCCAACTAATCACAGAAAAAGCGCAAGCAGGAAAGTCCATGAGGTTCTCTAATTAACTATCAAAAAAACTCAAAGTGGAGCTGTGGCTCAAGTGGTAGGGTGCTATCCTTGAGCAAAATAACACCAAGATAGCACTCAGGCCCAGAGTTCAAACCCTAGGACTGGCCAAAAAAAAAGTAGGGCTGAAAAACCCTACAAAATTTCAAACTCTAGCTCGAAAATCAGGCCTAGATTCAATTTTCAATTCCTAGTATCAGCAAAAACTAAATATAATGATATTATCTAAAGCCAATGGACAAGGCCTGAAACTCCAGTACCATAAGACAAAGAAACTGTTCTCTAGCTAACATTTATTCATCCTTTCTAAACAAGGAATAGCACAATATATGGCAATTTCCCTAACTCCTCTGTATCTCAATCATTTTTTTATTACTACTGTTATTTTTAGGTTAGGGAAAAAATTTTCATAAAGTAAAAGACTAAAATATTACTAATTGTCATTATTCAGGACATACAACATATATCAAAAAAAAAGTTGCCAAACCTATGACCTGTAGAATACCTCTGATTCAAGGAAGTCTCTAATTTTTTTTTTTTGTCGGTCGTGGGGCTTGAACTCTGTGCCTGGGCGCTGTTCCTCAGCTCTTCAGCTCAAGGTGAGCGCTCTACCACTTGAGCTACAGCGCCACTTCCGGTTTTTTGGTGGTTTATTGGAGATAGGAGTCTCACGGTCTTTCCTGCCCTGGCTGGCTTTGAACCGCGATCCTCAGATCTCAGCCTCCTGAGTAGCTAGGATTACAGGCGTGAGCCACCAGCGCCCGGCCGGAAGTCTCTAATTTTAAAAACTAACTGTATAGAGTTAAGATCGGTTTTAATAAGGAATAAAAAAAGATTGCATACCATAGTCTTGTTATCAGACGACAGACCTAAGGAAGCAAAAAAGAAGTTTATTTAATATTCTTAAGTCATAAATGAAGTCAGTAATGTGACAACATAAAAAATAGTATATAGGGCAAATAACATTTATCTAATAATGAAAAAGAAAAGGCAGAAAATTCATCTAGAGATGATGTATGCATTCACTGCTGGTGGGAACATAAATAATGAAACTGCTTTGGAGTTGGCAGATACTTAAAAAATTAAACATACAAAGTCAGGCCCTGATGGCTCAAGCCCCTAATCTTAGCTACTCAGGAAGATGAGATATGACGATCACAGGTTGAAACCAGCCCTGGCAGGAAAGTTCATGAGACTCTTATCTCCAATTAGTTACAGAAAAAAACAGGTAGAACTGTGGGCTCAAGTGATAGAGCACTAGCCTTGAGCAACAGAAGCTTACAGACAGAGCCCAGGCTGAGTTCAAGCCCTAGGACTACCCCCTCTCAACTCCCCACACACCAGCAAAAAAAAAAAAAGTTAAAACATAGCTGGCCACTGGTGGCTCATATCTGTAATCCTAGGTACTCAGAAAGCTGAGATCTGAGGATCATAGTTTGAAGCTAGCTTGAGCTGGTCCATGAAATTCTTACTGCCAAAAAAAAAACCAGAGTTAGAGCTGTAGATCAAGTGGTAGAGTGCTAGCTTTGAGGACAAAAGCTCAGGCACAGCACACAGGCCCTGAGTTCAAGCCCCAAGACCAACACATACACACAAAAAAAGTTAAACATACAATTACCATTGACCTAGTAATTTCATTCCTAGATAAATATCCTAGACAAAGATACACAAATGTTCATAGTATTATCCAAACTAAACAAAAAGTGCAAACAACCCTAACATTCCAGAATTTTCTTCCATTCCTTCATTCACTTTGGCAATACTGGATTCTAAAACTCAGGGCTTTCCCCTTGCTACCAAAGCACTCAACCACTTGAGCCTCCCATTTCCTGCCTTTAAGACACTTTTGCTATACCTTTACCAAATCTTTTCCTTTTTTTGTCAGTTGTGGGGCTTAAACTCTGGGCTTGGGCGCTATCCCTCAGCTCTTCAGCTTAAGGCTAGCGCTCTACCACTTGAGCCACAGTGCCACTTCCAGTTTTCTAGTGGTTTATTGGAGATAAAGAGTCTCACAGACTTTCTTGCCGGGGTGGCTTTGAACCATGATCCTCAGATCTCAGCCTCCTGAGTAGGTAGGATTACAGGTGTGAGCCACCAGTGCACAGCTCGTAATAAAGTCTGAACTCAAGATCTTACACTTATTTGGTTGGCTGATGCTCTACTACTTGAATCATACATACCACTAGACAGGCTTTTTGCTGGTTATTTTGGAGATGGAAGTCTCACAAACTTTTCTGAATAATTTGGCCTCAAACCACCATCTTCTGATCTCAGTCTCTTGAATAACTAGGATTAAAGGCCTGAATCCATCAACATCTGGCTCCATTCAGGTTTGATTTGGGGCTTGAACTCAGGGCCTGGCTCTGTTCCTGAGACTCTCTGTGCTCGGTCCATGAGCATCTTTGTGCTAAAGGCTAGCGCTCTACCACCTCAGCCACAGTGCCACTTCCAACTTTTCCTGTTTATGTGGTACTAAGGAATTGAACCTAGGGCTTCATGCATGCTAGGCAAGCACTCTACCACTAGGCCACATTCCTAAACCAATAAAATTATTTTTTAAAAACCCAGGGCTGGGAATGTGGCTTTGTGGTAGAGTGCCTGCCTAGCATGATGAAGTCCTGAGTTCAAATCCTCAGTACCACATAAACAGAAAAGGCCAGAAGTGGCACTGTTGCTCAAATGATAGTGCTAGCCTTGAGCAAAAGAAGCTCAGGGATAGTGTCCAGGTCCCAGTGCCCAAGCCCCAGAACTGACAAAACAAAACAAAAACCCACAATAATACTAATTTTATTATCTTAAGTAGTATACAACAGGGTTATAATTCAACATGTCAGTTTATACCTTTTTTCATGTTCTTTTATGATTAAAATAGGAACATATTTATTGATTTTTTTTCATTTACTATCCTTCTTGTATTTTTTTTTTTGTTTATGATAGTAGGATCAAACCTTGTGCATGGCCGGGCGCTGGTGGCTCACACTTGTAATCCTAGCTACTCAGGAGGCTGAGATCTGAGGATCGCGGTTCAAAGCCAGCCCGGGCAGGAGAGACCGTGAGACTCCTATCTCCAATAAATGACCAGAAAAGAAACTGGAAGTGGCGTTGTAGCTCAAGTGGTTGAGCGCTCGCCTTGAGCTGAAGAGCTGAGGGACAGCGCCCAGGCCCAGAGTTCAAGCCCCACGACCGACAAAAGAAAAACAAAAACCTTGTGCATGTCCAGTAAGTACTCTATTACTGCATTACATACCTAATTTTTGAGAGAGGGTCACTATGTAGCTCAGGCTGGCCTTAAACCTGCTTAAAAGCCCAAGCAGGCAACAAAATTGAGATCCTTTAGCCTTTGCCTTCTGACTGCTGGGTTTACAGATGTATACTACCACTCTGGACTTGACTTGTTTATTTTTGTGCCAGTTACTGGGGATTGAACTCAGTGCCTGTCCTTAGCTTTTCTTGCTCATGGCTGGCACTCTAACACTTTAGCCATACCTCCACTTCCAATTCTGCTTCTAAGTTGGAGATCAGAATCTCATGGGCTGGTCTGGCTTTAAACTTTGATCCTAGCCACCACTGGTGACTCACACCTATAATCCTACCTATTCAGGAAGTTGGGATCTGAGGATTATGGTTCAAAGCCAGCCTGGGCAGGAAAGTACAGGAGACTCTCATCTCCAATTTAGCCACCAGAAAACTAGAAGTGGCACTGCGTTTCAAAGTGGTGGCTCAAAATGGTAAAGCGCTAGTCTTAAGCAAAAACAAAAACAAAAAAAACTCAGGGACAGTGTCCAGGCCCTGAGTTTAAGCCCCATAACCAAAAAAAAAAAAAAGCTTTGATCCTCAGAGCTCAACTTCAGTAGATCACAACTGTGAATCACTGTACCTGGCTAGAATTTTATTTTTAACATAGAATAGTCTGCTATACTACAACATAGATTTATTTATCCAATTATTTTATATACTTTCAGTTATTAATATCTAAAAATAAATCCTTAGTTTCAAATACATTCAAGATTATTTCCTTTTAAGTTCTTAGAAGTAAAATAATGAAGGTAAAATACAGTCTTTTCCCTTTTACCACTTATACTATCCCATAATACTGATAATTTTATGCTGATAAAAAAGCAATTTCATGCTGATAAGACAACAGACTAAGTAAGAAAAGTAGTAGAAAACTCTCTGGGAACATGCAGGGAGGCCAAGACAAACGGTGGCAGCTCCTATTTCTTATAACATCAGAACCCTCTCTTAACTGCTTGAAAATCTTAAATATGACTTAATCTGAAACAACACAAACACTACAACCTCTTAAGGACTTCCATAACTAACATGTTTACCTAAATTTGAAATAATGAAATCTTTATCAAAAGAGAAAGTAAGTAACTTTCTCATATGATCTTTGTACTCTTACCTTTTGTTGGAACAGAAGAAATTCCAAACCTGCAGGAAGAAAAACAAGCTAGATTTTAGGAAGCTGTTCACACTCTTGCTTGTCCCCAAGTCAAGGGTATATGACACTTCTAGCTTGTGATCTCAAGTTTTGCAATCATTAGCTAATTCTAACAACCCTATGAAAGAGGTTCACTTTACTCTCCTTCTCACGAAGAGTCAAGGGAATATACTAAAAGGAATCTTTATCCGTCAGTTCCTGACTCTTACCTATTATAAAACCTAATGATTAATAAAGGCCCATCTATACCACATTCAGATCAGCAGAGATATTGTAATAGAGTTAGAATGTGTTCATTTCCTTTTAGCTGGGTATTATTCTACTTAAAATCAACAATTATAATAAAAAGTAGAAGTCACACCCCTAAAGCTTTCATAACTATGAGATCCAAAAAGCTGGAGACACTCACCTAGCTGCACGAGCAGCTTTCTTACTCTCCAAACTGACAGGTACATTGAATCGTTCAGCCCTCTTCTGCATTCTCTAAGTGAAAACAGATGAAAGAGGAAAAGAAAAATTTCAGTTTCTAGATTTGAAAAGTTGGTTAGAAGCCAGGTAGCACTGGTTCAGAATCCTAGCTACTCAGGAGGCTGGGATCTGAGGATCCCAGTTCAAAGCAAGCCCAGGCAGGAAAGTCCATGAGACTCTCATCTCTGATTAATCACCAAAAAGCAGAAAGTGGAGCTGTGCCTCAAGTGTAGAGCACTAGCCTTGAGCACAAAAGCTCAGGGACAGCTCCCAGACTCTGAGCTCAAGCACCAGGATTAGCACAAAATAAAAAAAAAAGTTGGTTAAAGGTTTACTTTACAGATATCAGTAGTAGTTTTAAGGATCTAAACTTAAAACATTGACAGTCCTCGGAGCTGGGAAGGTGGCTCAGAGGTAGAGTGCTTGCCTTGCATGCATGAGGCCCTGGGTTCAATTCCTCAACACCACATAAGCAGAAAAAGACGGAAGTGGCGCTATGGCTCCAGTGGTAGAGCGCTAGCCTTGAGCTGAAGAGCTGAAGGACAGTGCCCAGGCCCAGAGTTCAGGCCAAACAACCAGCTAAAACAAAAAACAAAAACACTGACAGTCCTAGATTCTATTAGGTTGTATGTATCCTAAAAGCTTATGGAACAGCTATTTCCTGAGAGTAAACACACACAGATGTGCACACACAAACTCCCTACTACCTTCATGCTCTAGAAACAAAAAGGAAAAATAAAACTCACATTCTGCATAAAGCCAAAAACATGTCATCTTTGGTTGATCTTTGGAAAGAGAGTTAAAAAATAACTTGGTTCTAACTGTAGTGGTAATTTTCCAGTTAGAAATGAGGCAGGGCTGGGAATATGGCTTAGTGGTAGAGAGCTTGCCTAGGATGCATGAAGCCCTAGATTCGATTCCTCAGTACCACATAAACAGAAGAAGCCAGAAGTGGTGCTATGGTTCAAGTGGTAGAGTGCTAGCCTTGAGCAAAAGAAGCTCAGGGACAGTGCCCAGGACCTGAGTTCAAGTCCCGAGACTGGGGGGAAAAAAAAGAAATGAGGCAGCAGCAACTCATGGAATTCTAAAATTTTAATAGTTCCTACCTTGGAAAGGTATAAAACTTAACAGAAAATATCAACTAGAAGCTGGTTTGAGATTTTGAGATAGAATCCAAATAAATTTTAATATCACCTGCTAGCAGGTAATAATTTAAAGAGGACACCATCACTGCTACTTTTTCAAGCCTATCAAACTCTAATCATAAGATGACAAAATTTTAAATAAGAAGACTATTTCAAAGCTGATACCCTATGTCATACCAAATATTCTCCAAAGAATAGTTAAAATTCCACCATAAAGGTGTCAATACTGATTTTCTGCTGTGAAAAAATTCTGAAAAAACGAAGGGCAAAAAATAGAAATGGCTAGACATGACAGCACATGCCTGTAATCCCAGCATTCAAGAGGGTGAGATGGAAGGCTCATAGTTTGAGGTCACACTGGGCTCCATAACAAGATACTGACTGAAAAAAAAACAGACAAAAAGAGACAGACACAGAGACAGAGAAATGCTGACACTGCTCTAGTATGGAGCAGAATTCCTACCTCAGTCTGTGATATTTCAGATGTAATTTTTACTACCTTCTTCTCTGCTGCCCTGAAAAAGAAATATTTTTCAGAAATCAGGAAATTGGTATTTTATATCAAAACCTAAGAAATGTACAAAAAGTTGCGCTGCCACTGTTAGCTCCCCTGCAACCTCTTAATCCAAAGAAAACTCTGGTTCCTTTTACTGAGAAGAAAAAGTCCAAATAAGACTGTTTCTTTTTCTGAGGGGGGATGGGAATGTGGCTTAGTGGTACAGTGCTTGACTAGCATGCATGAAGCCCTGGATTTGATTCCTCAGTACCATATACACAGAAAAAGCCGGAAGTGGTGCTGTGGTTCAAGTGGTAGAGTGCTAGCTCTGAGTGAATGAAGCTCAGGGACAGTGCCCAGGCCCCAAGTCCAAGCCTTAGAACTGGCAAAAAAAAAAAGGAAAAAAGTCAACAGGAAGTCTAGTTTAATATTTTGGGCCAAAGAGAAACACTCAAAGGATATAAAAAATGATTTCATTTTTTTCCTAGGAACTTTAAATTTACTTTTGGACTAATGACTAGTTCTCCAACCCTAATTTAAATACCAGCTTCCAATTTTTATCACAACAATAACTAATGAGTACTCAATAAGCCCCAATTTCCTTGTTTTACAAATCCCTTATTTCTCCCAAGGGGACTGTGGCCCTAGTTGAAGCAGTCAAATTGGAACAAATAAAAATGCCAAAGAGAGTGAGAAGAAACAAGCTTAAGGGGGGGGGGGAGAGTAGAATTAGGAAAACATGGCAAGTTACAGGCAAAAGGTTTAAGAGAAAACAAAAGGGGGGACCATAGGGGCGGGAGACAAAGTTCAGAAGTACCTAGGATAAATGGAAGGGCATTAACTCTCCAACAAACAACTCCAATAAAACTGTGGGTCATAACCAGTCTCATTAAGGTCCCTCATTTAGAGACATGAACAGCTTTTGTTCCAATACCCCGGACACTTTTCCCATTTGATGCCCTGAAAGGTAGTAATGGTTTAATGACATTTTCAGAGGAAGCAATTCTGGAACAGGAAGCTACTCTCTCCTCCATCCTTTTGTTGGGAGGTCCCTGAACCAAAAGACAAGCAATGGGTGCCCCCTGCTGACCATATCTAAGTCCTACAACATTTAACTACCTTGGGTGCAAAACAAAACAAAACAAAAAACAAACCAGCCATCAAATTAGAAAGTTATATTCATGAAGAATCTCAGGTCAGAGTTGAAAAAGAAGTTCCATTCTGACTATTCAATGACACTTTCTAACTTGTTCAAGCAAAAAAAACAAAACAAAACAAAAAAACACCCACAGAAGTTTAATGTTTTACTTGAAGATCAATGTCAGTAAGAGAGCAATCCTCTCAATCAACCACAGATTAATAACTTCCTCCTTTTCATCTTTGAAGACAATCACTGTAGTAGAACTCACGGCAGAAAAGGAACTAATTCAACTAGTTCAGACCACTTATATTCCAACTCAAGACACAGATAAAACTCAAGTAATAATGCCTATCACATTCTGGGGGCTCATGATATATTTCTACTCTTCACCTCCAAATCACAAAAACTACTCTAATTACACACTTAACAAATGTTAAAGATAGTCAACGTCTTTCAAAGCTCTACAAACTTTCAAACCTCATTATTTTAACCTAAAGAAGCTAATTATTATTGCATTCAGTTGATCTTACTTCTTGTCCCAGAAGTATTTTAAGGTTCTCACTAAGTCATGTTCTCAGGGCACTGTATCTTATTACAATGGGAGCCATGGCTAATGCCTGGCTCATGCTTATCATCCCAGCTACTCGGTAGTCCTAGGTCAGGAGGATCAGTTCAAGGCCAGCCTAGGCAAAAAAGTAAGCAACATATACCTTAACAACAAAAATTGGCAAAGCAGTTGCACCCATCATTCTAGTTAGTTGGGAAGCCTAAATATGTAGGCTATAGTCCAGGCCAACACAGACAAAAACCTGAGATCCTATGTTAAAAACAAGGTAAAAATTTGAAGACATGGCTCAGCTGAGAGCTCCAGTGGAACAAGCAAAAAAGCAAGCAAACATCATGTCCAGAATTCAAAACCCAATATAGGCAAAAACAAAACAAAACTGATATCCATTTAAGCTAGGCACCAGTGCTCATGCCTATAAACCTAAACTATTTAGAAAGATAAGATCTGGAGGCTCCAGGTGTAAAGCTAACCCAAGCAGAAAATCCAAGAGACACCATATCCAAAAATAACCAGCAAAAAGCCAGCCTGGAGGCATAACTCAAAGGGCAGAATACAAGCTGAACAAGCAAGTAATAATCAAGCCAATACACTGACTTATACTCTCAGTGCCAGCAAAAAAAAAAAAAAAAAAGTTATTGTACAGGAAAGATTACCCAACATGAAAGAAAACTCAAGAAACTGCATAGTGTGTTTATCTGTATCCACATATAAACATAAATATATTCCTATACACACAAGGTTAAATACCCTCAAAAGAATCTACTAAAAACTTCTGTGAAGGCTTACTGGAAGGAACAAGGATGTAGCTTAGTAGAATAGTGCTTGACTAGAATATACAAGGCCCCTGAGTTCTATCCCAATTTCAATTTCCTAAGAAATGAGGGATAAAAAAATGTCTGAAGGAAATACTTAAATTTATAAACTCTTCCATGTACTATTTCTTTCATTTACTTTTTTTTTTTTGGGGGTCAGTCATGGGGCTTGAACTCTGGACCTGGGCACTATCCCTAAGCTCTTCAGCTCAAGGCTAGCACTCTACCACTTGAGCCACACCTCCACTTCCAGTTTTCTGGTGGTTTATTGGAGTCTCTCGGACTTTCCTGACCAGGCTGGCTTTGAACCCCAATCCTCAGATCTCGGCCTCCTTAGTAGCTAGGATTAAGGCGTGAGCCACGGACGCGCAGCCTTTTTTAAAAATTTTTTTCTATACTTAAATCTACTTCATACAGCTATCAAAAAAAAATGATAGAGGGACTCAATTTTCCTTAATGTGCTAACAAAATGACTATTTGGGGAAAGAACCCTGAACAAAAATGCCTATCAACCTCATAGGATGGTTTAAACAAACTGAAACCAATTTTCCATTCTAATATTGGTCTTCCTTTCACTATATATCACAAAGAAAGGATATAGTGTTACTTGAGAAATAAAACATCTGCTCAACTCCCTCCTTCACTACAAAACTCCTTTTATGCAATTTTATGCTTTTTACTGGTTAACTGGAAAGAGAATTTCACACAATTCTGCCCAGGCTGACTTTGAACCACAAACCTCAGATCTCAGATTCCTGAATAGCTAGGATTACAGGTATGAGCCTGGCCATTTTATATTTTTCTATAAGACTGTAGTTCTAGAAGAATAAGTTTATAGAATTTTATGTAACAGATAATCTTACAGATTCTGCAATAATTCTTATGATGATCCTATGAAAGAACTAAGGCTAATACTAAACTATTTCTGAACTTGAAGATATCTGGTTTTAATCACCTATTATATAACCTGAAGACAAACTGCTTTACTTCACCTGAAAATTCTGGGTTTTTGTTGGTGTTGTTTTTGTTTGTTTTGTGCCAATACTGGGGCTTAAACTGAAGCCTCATACTTGCTTAGCTTTTTTTGCTTAAGGCTGATCCTCTACCATTTGAGCCACACCTTCACTTCCAAGTTTTTTCATAGTTAACTAGAGATAAGAGTCTCTTAGACCCATCTGCCAGAGTGGCTTCAAACCTCAATCCTCAGATCTTAGCCTCTTAAGTAGCAAAAATTATAAGCATGAGCCATTGATGCCTGTTCTCCTGAAAATTTCTAATTAACGAGAAATGAAAAAGTTAATGGGAACACGTAAGAGGTAAATAGAATGAAACTTTAAAACCAATAAAAATAGCACTGTCTGCATTATGCTCAGATTGTTTTTAAAAAGACAATTACACATCAACAGTTTTTTCAGGGGGTTCTTCTTCTTTGACAGGCAGCTCTATGGGCTTTGGTTCTTCTTCCTAAATTGAAAACAAAAAAGGTTCACATGAATCAATAGTAAATACCCATCAACAGAAAATTACAGTAATCCTAGCTACTCAGGAGGCTGAGCTCTGAGAATCGCCCAGGCAGGGAAGTCCATGAGACTTTTATCTCCAAAAAACACTAGAAGGGGCTGGGAAGGTGGCTCAGTGGTAGAGCACTTGCCTTGCATGCCTGAGGCCCTGGGTTCCATTCCTCACACCACATAAGCAAAAAGAACCAAAGCCAGAAGTGGCGCTGTGGCTCAAGTGGTAGAGCGCTAGCCTTGAGCTGAAGAGCTGAGGGACAGCACCCAGGCCCAGAGTTCAGGCCCCACGACAGTACCCAAAAAATGAAAATAAAAAATAAAAAAAATTTAAAAAACACTAGAAAACCGAAAGTGGCGCTGTGACTCAAGCTATAGAGCACTCGCCTTGAGCTGAAGAGCGCAGGAACAGCGCCCAGGCCGAGTTCAAGCCCCACAACCAATTTAAAAAAATATATATTACAACCCCAGAATGAAAAAAATCTCACAGAACTTTCACTCTGTTCTTGAGCTCCCCAAATAAATTAGCATCTAAAATACTGTAATGGTTAGTATTGAGCAACGTGGAAAAGGCAGTAGCACACTACCAAGCCAATTAACCTTAGTTTTTCCAACTTACCTCTGTTTCATCTCCCAATACATCTTCTTCATTTGCCTCTTCTTCAGCTAAAGAACATTAAAATATTCAGGTCAAATTGCATTACAAAACCATCTTGATGACTGAACTAAGAATAAAGATACAATCACTTTGCTTTCCCAAAATAAAATTAAACAGTGAAGGCCGAATTGATGATTATATAATCTGGAACATTTGAAAAACTGGATTTTGGTCAAGACTACTGGTTCATGCCTGTAATCTTAGCTACTTAGGAGACTAAGATATGGAAGATGGTGGTTTGAGGCTGGCTAAGGCAGCCTCAAGTCTGCAATAGTCCATCACCAAAATAACTACTAACGAGCCAGATGAGCTGGGCAATGGTGGCTCATGCTGTAATCATAGCTACTCAAGAGGCTGAAATCTGAGGACTGTTCATTGCCAACAAGAATGGAAAAATTCCCAAGACTCTGCTCTCCAATTAACCAACAAAAAGCCAGAAGTAGACTGGGGTCAGTGGCTCAGCTCTGTAATCCTAGCTATTCTGGAGGCTGAAAACTGAAGACTGAGGTTTGAAGTCAGCCTGGGCAGAAAAGTCTATGAGATTCTAATCACCAATTAACTACCAAAAAGCTAGGAGAGAAGGAAAAAAAAAAAAAGCTAGAAGAAGGGTTCTGGCTCAAGTGGTTAAGTGCTAATCTTGAGCTGCCCCCCCCCAAAAGCCAGAACTAGAGGTAGAGCTTAAGTACTAGAGTACCATCCTTAAGTGAAAAAGCCAAATAAGGCATAAAGCCCTCAGTTCAAGTCCCAATACAGACATACATACAGGTGTGCATGCTGGCACACAACCACATACACACATACCAAAAAACAAGCTAGACTGGCCAGACTGGAAGTGTGGATCAAGTGGTAAAACACCAGCCAAACAACTGAGCAAGCAAATGCAAGGTCTCAGGTTCAAAAACAAATATTTGGCTAGGTCTATAGTTGGTGACTCAGGTCTATAGTTCTAACTACTTAGGAGTCTGAGATCTAAGGATCATGGTTCAAAGCCAGCCCAGGAGGAAAGTCTGTGAGATTCTTATGTCCAATTAACCTCCAGAAAACCAGAAGTGGCACTGGGTTCAAGTGGCAGAGTGCTAACCTTGAACACAGAGGCTCAGTGACAGAGCCCAGGCCCTGAATTCAAGCTCCACAACAACAAAAGTTTTTCAAAAGACAGAAGCAAAAAAGTAACAGGAGAATATTTGATTTTCCAAAAACTAAGACTCCTACTTAGGAAAGGATGCCAAAGAAAAATTTAAAAACAAATCACAAAGAAAATATCTCAAGAGCTGGGCGCCGGTGGCTCACGCCTGTAATCCTAGCTATTCAGGAGGCTGAGATCTGAGGATCGCAGTTCAAAGCCAGCCCAGGCAGGAAAGTCCATGAGACTCTTATCTCCAATAAGCCATTAGAAAACCAGAAGTGGCGCTGTGGCTCAAGCAGTAAAGCGCTTGCCCCAGGCCCACTACCAAGGGCGGGGGGAGGAAAGAAAGAAAATATCTCAGGAGGGTGCCAAAGGCTCACACCTGTAATCCTAACTACTAGAGCCTGAGATCTGAGGGTCACAGTGCAAAGCCAGCCTAGGCAGGAAAGGCTGTGAGCCTTTTTTTTTTTTGCTGGTTGTGGGCCTGAACTCTGAGGCGCTGTGCCTCAGCTCTTCAGCTCAAGGCTAGCACTCTAGCTACTTGAGCAACAGCGCCACTTCTAGCTTTTTCTGCTTATGTGATACTGAGGAATGGAACCCAGGGCTTCAGGCATGCAAGGCAAGCACTCTACCACTGAGCTACCTTCCCAGCCCTGGCTGTGAGACTTTTGCCTCCAATTAATCACCAGAAAACAGAAGTGGAGTTGTGGCTCAAAGTGGTATAGCACTACCTTGGGTGAAAAAGCTCAGGGACAGTACCAAGGCCCTAAGTTCAAGCCCCATAACCACCCCCCCCCAAAAAAAAGAATAAAAAGAAAATATCCGTGTCTGAAAACAAAAAAAGTTACTAGAATTAAAAAAAGAAAAATCGGAGCTGGGAAGGTGGCTCAGTGGTAGAGCGCTTGCCTTGCATGCATGAGGCCCTGGGTTCGATTCCTCAGCACTACATAAGCAGAAAAAAAAAGCCAGAAGTGGCGCTGTGGCTCAAGTGGTAGAGTGCTAGCTTTGAGCTGAAGAGCTGAGGGACAGCACCCAGGCCCAGAGTTCAGGCCCCACGACCGGACCCAAAAACAAAAACAAACAAACAAAAAAAATCAAGCCAGGTACTGGTGGCTCATGCCTGTAATCCTAGCTACTAAGGAGGCTGAGATCTGAGGATTGAGATTCAAAACTAGGTCTTATCTCCAATTAACCACCAGAAAACCAGAAGTGGCGCTGTGGTTCAAGTGGTAGAGTACTAGCTTTGAGCTGAAGAGCTGAGGGACAGCACCTCTGCCCAGAGTTCAAGCTCCGGGACCAAAAAAAAAATCTACAAACTAGTAAGGAACCTCAAAACTGGGCAAACAAACCTAAGAAGCTATGACAAAAAGGAAATATAAGTTAAAAACAACAAATGAACAGATAGGACACTTGATAAGTTATCAAATTTAGGTTTGTGTAGATACAAAAACTCTGATGCATCAGTGTTAAAAGTATGATTTAAGGCCCTGGTGGCTCAGGCTTATTGTCTTAGCTACTCAA